TCAGTGTGGTGTTCATCCCATTGTATCATCTAGCTGTGGCGGTTTCCATCTTACAAAGGTAACCATTTAGGAGAGGAGAGAAAGCTGGAAATGCTCACTAGTTAGAGCCAGCTAGTCACTCCCTGGAGTGCTACTTGCTGTCTGTCCTGCATTGCAGGAAGGATGAATCTGTGAAAGGCAGGCCTTCTGCCAGAGTCCCTTATGGGGTTCAGTATTACTTTGACCCTGCCATACACCAAATCATGACCATATACAACTATGGGAATACAGGACCTCAAAGGGTAACATTCTAAGGCAGTGCACATAAGCCACATTCTAAGTTCTCTCCTGATGTCAGTCCTAAGTCACATATATATTTCAGACTTTTAAAATAAGTGTCTGTTTAGAATAGCCTATTGGTCTATTAATGTCTTTTTTTTTTTTTTAAAGATTTATTTATTTATTTATACAAGCACTGGGTACAGTCAGAAGCGCGGGAGGGTGAATTCACCAGAGGGAGAGAATTCACCAGAGCCAGAGCGGGGAGCAGAACAGGCAGACTTGATGAAGTACACTGCTGAGGGGAGCAGCGGGCGGCAGGAAAGGTCTGCGCGCCATGTGGGACCCTCGCCATGCAGGTGGCTGGGGATCGAACCAGCGCTGCAGAGGCTGCGGGCAGCTTCGCAACCCAGCGCTCAACCGCTGTGCCAATGGGGAGGCCCTATTAATGTCTTGAGCTTTTTCCATTCATATTAATTTATCTAATTCGTTATGTCTTTCAACAGTACACATTTCTCATAAACTTGGAGGACACTTTATGAAAATCAAAGAGCATTTGTCCTCATTAATGTTTTCCCAGTTATAACCTTTGAGAACAATTTCTTAAGAGATGTTTTGGGAGTTATATTCCAGAACATATTATCTTCATGGTCTTCCCTCTGGTGGGATGGATAAATCATCTTGAGAGTGGCACTGAATTTTCCAGTTTCAGTAGAAAAGATAAACATTTCACTTACAGAAGCTGCAGGAGTAGACTTCAAGCAGATCCGAAGTTTAGGCGTGCCAGGGAAGGCGTGTCTGGGGGTGGTCACGGGGAAAAGACTAACTCTCACAGGACATACTGAGGAATGGGAGTGAGTTACCAGTCACTTGTGTCTCCTGAGCCTCCACAGCATTTGGGGGTGTGGGCAGTGGAAGGGTTAATAAATTTTTCCTGAGAATGCAAAGAGAGCCTCTTAAATATGGAATGAGAATCAACCTTTGTCAAGGGTATCACAGAGAGCTGAATCAAGGAAGCCTGCCTTTCCTACTGGGAGTGTTGCTAATTTCCACTCTGTGTGCTGTCTCTGTTTCAAAAACTGGAGGGTTCGCCCACCAATTGTCTTCTGGTCAGTTACATATACCACAGCCCCAGAAGGCAGCCAAGTGGCAACTGATCACAATATGATACGTGCTTTGCAAATGATAGGATGTATATGGCTGCTCTAAACAACTAGAAGGGTGGAAAGGGAGGCTTAGCATAAGAAGTATCACTGAAGTTGGGATTTTTCTGGGTGGAGGAATGGTATGCATGTGTTGTTGTGGGGAGTGGGAGAGGAATTTAAGGAAAAAATACTT